GAATTATAAGAATAGTGAACAGGATGCATAACTGAAAGTTTGAAAGAAGTCTTTTTGTTCTTTATGAACAAACTAGAGGCCCAGTGCACAGATTTGTGGACTGGTGGGGGGCATGGCCTGTGGGGATCCGCCTGCTGTGGGAGCACCGCTCATCCTGGTCAACTGAGTGGCTATGGACCTGCCCTCTGAGCAGCTGCTCCCACTGTGATACCACTGCGCTCCCACTGTGGGAGTGTACTGATCACCAGGGGGCAGCTCCTGCGTTGGGTGTCTGCCCCCTGGTGGTCAGTGCACGTCATAGCAACTGGTCAACTGAGTGCACGTCATAGCAACTGGTCAACTGGTTGTTCTGGTCATTCAGCCATTCTGTCACTGGGGATATATATTTATATATTATTAAACATCTTAGAAATAGAGACAGTAGTTGGGATATAGTTGAATTTCTTTTATTTGTTTTTGTTAATGTGAATCAAATGGAATGACATTCAAAAATAAGTGAAGAACAAGAGAATAGCAATCTCAATTTAATTTCTCCCTGATGCTAGAGAATAAAAGATAATTGATGCCACAGGAGAGAACAGGGAGAGAAGACATGTCAATGTTGCAGTCCTGTGGGGATGGGGTTTGGGACAGATCTGGGAATGATTTCACCATCCACAGGCAGAGTGTTGCACTTGGGGCCCTGCTATACTAGAAGCAACATGATATACTTGGATCCTGGGGAGAAGAGATGCTGAAAGGGTGACTGAGGATCCTGGAGGTTAGTAGAGTTAAATGTTCATAAACAGTGAATTAGATAGAATAAATGAGATTCCAAACTACCATCTGTGTTTCTTTTCATGGGATTTCTGGCATACAGCACAGGCTTACCCAAAGTTTCTAAGCCCAGGGGCAGTAATGATAAATTACAAAATTGTTGCATTTCAGTTCAAAAGGCATAACATAATCTATTTGTGAAAAAAACACCTCAAATTAGGAATATTCTTCAAAACTACTCATATCTACCCTTTAGAAATGGTAACATTGTGAATAACTGGAAGACTTTCTGTTCAAGATTAAAGGAGTATATATAGAGAAAAGGCAATTAAATGCAATATATGATGTTGGATTGGATTTTGAATCAGAACAAAAAGTGGAAATTTTACTATATAGAACATTATTGGTCAGCAGGCAAAATTTGAGTAAAAATGATGTATTGTGTCAGTATTTAAAGTATTGATTTTGATATGTATATTGTGGTTATGCAAGAAAACGTTTTGCAATTAGGAGATGCAGCCTGAGGTATTAGTTGTAAAGGGTCATGATGTCTGCAGTTTACTGTCAAGAGGTGCAGACAGTACTAGAAATAGCCCGAGGGATAAGGTAAACAACTGGTGAATCTAGGTGAAGGGTATGGGCACTTATTCTATTCTTACAACTTTCCTGTAAGTTTCAAATTATTCAAAATCATTATTTAAAAATAAAGACATGACAAATAATTTGTGTTAGGGCTTTGTCAGTGGCTTACCATGTGGACTTTGAGCCTGTTTCATCTGTGAAATAAAAATAATCTTCCCCTGCCTGGCCAGCATGACTCAGTGGTTGAGCACTGAGAACTAGGAGGTGGCAGTTTGATTCCCAGTCAGGGCACATGCCTGGGTTGTGGGCTCGATCTCCAGTGCGGGGCATGCAGGAGGCAGCCAATCAATGATTCTCTCATCATTGATGTTTCTATCTCTCTCTCCTTCTCCCTTCCTCTCAATATCCATAAAAAGTATATTTAAAAAATAATCTGCCCCTTCTATTACATAGATAGTTATAAGGGTCAATGAGGTAATGGGGTTCACTGAACACTATTTAACTTTTTTTCAGATTTGGAAATATATTTTATATGAAAGAAAAGAGTAATTTTCAGTCAAGCTACACTTTCATTACAAATGAAATATAGAATTTAGATAACGTAAAACTTTAGCTTTTGTTTATTAATTATAATGCAGCCATTCACTGTAGTCCCTCAATTAAAGAATGCCCTGAGAATGGAGCATTCCTCTATTACTATAGTAGGACATTTTTAAATAAAATTAAATGGTACTCAAACAATCAAAGAAACATCTATGTAATCATGTGACTATGGCTACTTAATGCTAACAGTATTATGTCTTTAGTGTTATTCTCTTGAAGAACTCTTCCATTTCTTGCATTTCAATTATAAGTGAACAAAGCTCATCATAGTCAGTATCCTGAAGTCTGAGAAGGTTCAAGTTGGTGTAAAGATTCAATTTTAGTGTAAAAACATTTTATGTCTCCACTGGGCACTAGTTAATCTGCTGTCTGCTGGTGATTCCTTGTCTCTTGTAGTTCGGTGCCATTTCACATACCCAAAGTCCTCCTAGTCTTTTGATTTTACTTTCATTAAAACAGTAAAATGTTGATTAATTTTATATTTATACTTTTTCCCGTACTTTGGTTGAAACTTATTCAACCATTTATATTATGACCTAGGATACATATAAGAATCTCTGCATCATTCCTACAATAGTAGGTCAATATCAATGAAAACGTTGGCCAAATAATTTAAATTTTCTTAAGCTCCTTCATCATCATCTGGTCCACTCTTCTATAATTAAAATTCTCAAACAGAAGTACCGCAATTTCTAGTATTTTAAGAAAAAACAAATCCAGGGGCATCTTTTTAATCTATATTCATTTTTTTCTTTATTTTATGAAGTGATTGACCCAGACACCCTGTCCTTTATCCTGGAACTTTTCTCTCTTAGACTTCTATGAGATTCAGTGTTATTTCTTTGACCATAACCTCTGATCTTACTTATTTGCTCTTTTTTTTCTCTAACAGCATGCTTCCATGGAACTTGTCTTGGCATTCTTCTCTATTTTCCTTTGATGTCACCTCTGATTAAGTCATCTCAAGGTGATTCAGAGAATTCTCTATTTCTCCAGGCTCACCTTTTTTCTTCATCAGCATGTAGATAGTTACAATCACCAGCTTCATATATCTATCTATCTATCTATCTATCTATCTATCTATCTATCTATCTATCTATCATCTATCTATCTATATGTATGTATGTATATGTCACACTAAACATAGTGTGCCAGAGCCTCCAAAGCCAGGCTACCTGCACATCAGCATTTTTTCAGTTCTGTGAAATGGACAAGTTAAAAGAGAAACTTATAAAAGAAGATGCATTTGGTATAGGGTGAGAAAGAGAGCCTCAGATAACAGGAATAATGGGCAGTATTCTACAGAAAGGGAGAGAGAAACCGGGTACTCCTTATAGCAACTTGACTTGAGATAGCTATAAGAAAATTAAGACGCCAAAACCGGTTTGGCTCAGTGGATAGAGCGTCGGCCTGCGGACTGAAAGGTCCCAGGTTCGATTCCGGTCAAGGGCATGTACTTGGGTTGCGGGCACATCCCCAGTAGGAGATGTGCAGGAGGCAGCTGATCGATGGTTCTCTCACATCGATGTTTCTAACTCTCTATCTCTCTCCCTTCCTCTCTGTGAAAAATCAATAAAATATATTTTTAAAAAAAAAGAAAATTAAGAAAGAGGAGATGTAAAATGGAAGCAAGGAGAGAGAGAGAGAGAGAGAGAAAGAGAGAGAGAGAGAGAGAGAGAGAGAGAGAGAGAGATGCTTAGAAACAGAGGTTTGAGCATTTAGCATGACAATAAAACAGCACCATATGCTCTTTTACTTACTTCTCACTAGACTAGGAAGCTCTTCACCTGAATGGAATGTCACATGAAAAATAATTTTTAACTTACTGTGATAAATTGATCTTTCAAGAACATTAGGTGAAATATATACTCATGATAAAACCTGGCTCTATCACAGAATAGTGTGCATTAATGTTTAACAATTAGTCAAAGCCTCCCATAGCAGAAAGAGCTAAATTAAAGTTAAATAATACTTTTAAGCTTGAAAGATACCCCATGCTGTTAGATAATACAAGGATGTTGAGAAAAGTAACCAAAAACTAATTCACCAAGTTTGTAAAATCAAATATTCTGTACTCTAGGTAATCTTAATATTGCTCAGTCACTGTAAATCAGATTATTCTTGAGATTGTATTTACGTCAAGGCAAATGGTCTTCTACTTACAAATGTAATTTAGTCTCATGAATAGGTAATCTTGTTAAAATATTGTCAGCCTAACTGAAATTGATTTGTGTTTACTAAACGTACAGAATACTAATTAAATATTAGACACAAGTGCTGGAGGTATTTCAACCTTTGACAGACACTGTTAGTGCTTCATGGAAGAATTGGTTTTGGGTTTTTTGGTTTTGTTTTTGTTTTTTGTCTCAGAGGTCAACATTGCTTTTCGGCCTTTTCTTCTAGATGCAGAAGGAGAAAATGAGGAGAAATGGCCCACATTTCTTTCATGAAATTTTGTGTTTGGGGGATATTTGGAAGAATTTGGGATTGGTTTGGGGGGAGTTATGTATGTTTTATCTCCATTGCTACAAACAACACATTTGCTTTTTCCATCTGCTTAATTCCATTGCAGGTTTGCGATTCACAACCACTCATAGCATCTTTGAGCTCCACATAATAGCTTTTATTGGAGACAGACAGTACCAGCCAATCTGAAAAGCAGGTTGAAGATAAAGCCTGAGAGCTCACGTGCCCTGGCCTGGTGACTGGGCTCACTGCAGAAGCTTGTACCAAATGGGCTGCGTGCATCTTCTGTGCTGTATATGTATGGGCTCTATGAGGCTTAAAGAAACATTTCCCCTAATACGAAAATAAACCCACCATAATCATTCATTTTGGAGAAATTTTACAGTTGTTGGTTAACCTGCTCCCTTATGCCCCGCAATATTCATTAACAGATTTCTCTGTTTATGAGTGATATTATATGTAAATGGTTATGGGAAGCTAACAGATGTAACCAGTGAAGTAAATTAGAAGGAAAAGTTCTGTTTTTTACAGATGGTTCTACTGAATATGCTTTTATCCCTCCTCGACTTTAACATTTAGTTTTCTTTGAACAGAAAACTTTTCTTTACTGACTACGGGAATGTGGCCAAAGTGGAGCGGTGTGACATGGATGGCATAAACAGAACAAGGATAATTGATTCAAAGACAGAGCAGCCAGCTGCACTGGCACTAGACCTAGTCAACAAATTGGTTTACTGGGTAGATCTTTACTTGGACTGTGTGGAAGTTGTGGACTACCAAGGAAAGAACAGACATACTATTATTCAAGGCAGACAAGTAAGTATAATTTTGTTAGAAAATACAGCTAAGGTAATAAAATGCATGCTATCACAGTAAGAAGAAGGCCCCAAATCTCAATGTTGAAAATCCCTTATGAAGTTAAGCTTCAATGGGTCATAAAATTATGATGTATTTCCTAGATGGGAGAATGTTCTTTTCGCAGTGCATTCTATATATTGGATATGCCTCTCATTGTTTCCTTCCCTGTATTAACAACACAGCACAGAAAACAAAACAAAAACAACGCAAATAAAACAGGAACACCAAACAACCAAAACAAAAATGCTAGACTAGTAAGAAAGGAAAATACTAAAATATGACAGATGTTGTGGCCCACTTACTAAACACTAATTTAAGTAGTTTATTTATAAAAAAAATGAACTAGGATTTGTTCCATGTGTCTTTGGAGATATTTTGCTAACAAAAGCAAATGCCTGCTTCCAAAAGTATTACTTTAATACAGTGGTTCTCAACCTTCCTAATGCCACGACCCTTTAATACAGTTCCTCATGTTGTGGTGACCCCCAAACATAAAATTATTTTCGTTGCTACTTCATAACTAATTTTGCCACTGTTATGAATCGTAATGTAAATATCTGATATGCAGGATGTATTTTCATTGTTACAAATTGAACATAATTAAAGCATAGTGATTAATCACAAAAACAATATGTAATTATATATTCAATATGTGTTTTTCCGATGGTCTTAGGCAACCCCTGTGAAAGGGTTGATCCCAAAGGGTTCGCGACCCACAGGTTGAGAACCGCTGCTTTAATAGGTTGGATTAAATTTTTTCTTCTGGTATATTCAAGTACTTCCTAAAATGAGATTTCTGTAAAAAATTTGAAATAAATTTTCACAGAATTCAAAAACTATACAGATAGTCAAAACTGCATAGTTTGTCCCTTGCTGGATTACAAGATTATTTTTTCAAATAACAGTCAGTAAACACCTCACAGGAAATCTCTAAATTGAAATGAGCCTTATTCAGTAGTAGAGCTTTTCAAATTCAATTTTACCTCACTTATTGCACTAATTTCATGTGAGAATCTTATTCTATCAAAATGAACCTTTTTCTTTTGCAATGCAAAGCAAAAATATTCTGTAATTATCCCTTTAAGTTACTTTTCCTTTCTAATTAACTTTTGACAATAAAATTCTTTCCCTTTCCTTGGAAAATAAACAAATGCACTAATCTGGGTGGTAAAAAAAAAATAAAGTTTCCAATATTAGAGTTGAGGCCAGATATTTCTCACCTTCAACTGTCCTAAAATGGTTATGATGGACCTTCTTTTTTACCTATACATAATTAAAGTTTTAAACAAGGATAAGGAATTCAAATTACTTTCTCCATGACTATAAAGTTTTTGAATGTCTGAAATTTTTATTATCCATCTACTTTTTCCTTTGTATTGTTTGGTTTTGCTGGCCTGCCACTAAGTAATCCGACATGTAAATTAGTTGGCCACTCTGTAATCCAACAGATACATTTTTGAAGAATTTGGGTTGTAGGAAGAATGGTCTATTCACCACTCTAAGCTCCTTCTACCTCTACTGGGAGTAGTTAACAGAGCAGGCAACATGTACTTACTTTATGGGGAACAGACCCTTCTGAAGGCAGGCAGGGAGACAGTGAGTAAAATTTGATCCTATTATTGTGAACATGTTTTCTACTCTGATGAATTCAAATGCCCCCTCAGTAGTCATGGGATGTGGATTGTCAGTTATGTAGAGTGTAATGTGAGTATATCACAACCATACACTCCCAGATGACTGGCCCCAAATTTTGAGCCAAACATGCATCAGAATGAAGGTAATGGAAGAGTTCAACTGGTTTGTAATTTTTATAGAAAAAAAAATTCCCTGAGCAAAATTGGGCCATAGGTATATTTAGTTAATATGATGTCAGCTATATTGAAAATATATTAGTATATACATGCATGCTCACACAAACACACACAAACTTATGCTAACAACAACAACAAAAAAGATTATTTGCACTTTAGCATTGAATGATTCAACCCATTAATTCTACTCTTTCACTTTTAGCCTAGACATGAAGAAATGAGATATGGTTAAAAAAAAAAAACACAAAACAAACAAACAAAAAAAACATGCAATCTTCTTCTACTCATGTCTCACATGAGAAGATCAGAAATAGTAATGATGAATCATAGATGCTTGAGAAATAAAAAAAATCCAATGATTTCGCTTAATATACAGAACTAATAAGATTTCCTGATTAAGAGAAAACATTGTAATATGTTCTATAAATATTTTACAGTCAAGCCATACTTAGTTTCTCAAGTTCTCTTAACTATAAATCTATACTAAAAGTGCTCCACAATACAATATATTACCAAAGTATAGTGATAAATGCTTTTTTTATCACATTTTCTACAGAAAATCAATTGACAGCTCTACCATATCCTGAGCAAGAATCATTTTAATTTAAGTGTAACACAAGGAATACCCAAAGGCCTAGCATGTGCCTTTAATGGGAAAACCAGTATACTCATTATTTCTCTATTTTACCGGAAATGTTCCTTGACTTCAAGATTTCTATTCTTCCCCACAATCTCCAAGACCTCTACCAAGGAGGATATTTCCACTATTAAAGTGTCATGGATAGCAATAAACATTGTTACTTTCAAGCAAACAGTTCCATTTCCATTATGAATAGGCTTTAGAAAGAATGTGATTTCTTAGTGAAATGATGACATTTTCTTTACAATTATTCCAAATATGTGATTTCATCATTTATTATTTCCATGCTGGGCAAGTATTAATCTAATTGTAACTTGGGATTTTTTAATGGGATTTTTCATTTATAAAATGAATTTTTTAAAGTACCTTAGCATTAGTTCTTTCACAGACAGAGCTATGCTTTTGAAGATTCTACATATCCATGTCTATATGAGCAAAAAGCCCATAAAAGTACCTCCAATTTTATATCAGTGCCATATGAATATTAATGAATAGACTTAAAGGTTTGCTTCTTGCTAGCTTTCAAAAAGTAGCCACTGAGCATGTTTTCTTAATGAAACCTGAATAAAATTTTCTCCCATGCATTTGCAACTGCTTTATCCACTACTGTATGTTTTATTCTCAGATTATTTTTTTAAATTAGTACAGTGTTAATTTTTTGAGAGTAAATGAACAATAATATGGTGTGACTCTGCTACTAAGGGAATTGTTCAGACTAGTACATAGCAATCTGTTTTTCTTTGAAGTTGAAAGCAGCATAATTAAAAATCTAGTTATGTTTGTCCCTCTTTATAGGTCAGACAATTTTATGGAATAACTGTGTTTGAAGACTATTTATATGCAACCATTTCTGATAACTTCAACATCATAAGGATAAACCGATTTAATGCCACAGATATGCATTCATTCATTAAAATGGAAAATGCCCGAGGACTCCGAATCTATCACAAAAGAACTCAACCTATAGGTAAGATGCCAGACTTCTTCATAGACTTCATGATGGTGAATTGAATGGAGTTATGGTCCTTGTGCCTTTGTATTATGCTAAAGTGCAAAAATCATCAATTCTCTGTTTTGATTAACAAAAGTGCACATGTCTGCTTGACACAATGGATAGAGCTCCCTTCTCAAGTTTAAATGACAAATTGTTCAGTTCCTGGTGAATCGTTTCTACAAGAATAAAGTTAAAATTAGAGCTAGATTTAGATTCAGGAAGGAGCTTTCGGTCATCAGGCATGTAGTCAGGAAACCCAGATGCTAAGATACTAAGAGTTTTTTAGTATAATTTTGGAGAGAAATTTCAAATCAGGTTACTTTCTTACAGTACTGGTTCAGTTTCATTGCATTCATTGGGGTCTTTTGACTTCACATCCTAAGGTGTTTTTTTTTTTAATGCATGTTTATTAAAAATAATTTTTAATGACTAGACTGCAGTGTTTCTTCATAGTTGTCAATAACACAAACTAGTTATTTTGCATAGTAGGTTAGTGATGCTTATTCGTGAATACAATTTAGGCTAAATCACATCTTCTATAATAAAAGCCCAGCAACTGAATGGCGGAACAACCAGAATGGCAGAATGGCAGAATGACTGGTCGACCAGTCACTATGATGTGCACTTACCACCAGGGGGCAGATGCTCAACACAGGAGCTGCCCCTGGTGGTCAGTGCACTCCTACAGTGGGAGTGCCGCGTGGCTGACTGGGATGAGCGGCTGCTCCCGCTGCAAACCCTGGGCCTAGGAGCAGGAACCGGGCTGCAATCATCACCTCCTCGCCCCAGGCTCCTCCTCCTCGCTTCCTGCCACCTCTTCCAGATGCCCCAGGTCACGCTACAGTGCTTGCAGAGCTGATCCTGGAGACTGGGAGGCGGGTTGATGGCTGCCACGGGACTGCGGTCTACTCAGTGCTACTGTCCCTGGGCCTGGCCCTAACTGGGTCCCCTGGAGAGGCAAGTGCTCCTACTTCACGGAAGATGCCGGACCAGGGAGCAGACCCTCAGAGGGCAGGTCCACAGCTGCTCGGCAGACAGAGATGAGCAGCGCTCCCTCAGTGGCCTATCCCCCCAGACCACGCCCCCCATTAGTGCACAAATCTCATGCACCAGGCCTCTAGTATAGAAAAATATAAAATACAAAGGCTACCACCAAAACTTTTCATCATCTTTTTATGCTTCAAATTAACACTATAATTATCTGAACATTAACATATGAGAAAAATTAAGCCCATAAGGATGATGAGTGTCAGGGATAGGGCTAGTTTACAATTTGACATTAAATGGTCAGAGGAAGTCCCACTGAAAAGAAAATTGAGTGAATACAAAAAATTGTGGCACAATTTCTAAAAGTGTAGCAGTTTTATTATGAAAAGAAAATTGCCATGTTATTCATTGCAATTCCAAGTAATTGATGCTCAAAAATCAGTATAATTACAATAATACATAAAATCTTACTGACATTTTCCTACTGCAGCCCTTTCTCTTTGACTCATCATTCTGTTTCTCATCCTCTCCATATGGTACTTTTCCTGTTCTTTTTTCTTATTCTGTAACTTCAACATTTATAAAATGACCTTTATTCCTCTATCTCCACATGCAAACTCAGCCTCCTCCTTTTGGCAATTTCAGTTACACACACACACACACACACACACACACACACACACACACACACATACACCAATTCATTTTGTAAGAGAGTTCTCAAAACGGCAATGTCTTCAGTAAAGATAATCACTGAATTACCTTTAGTTTAGGTTAGATAATTATGGCTTATTATGAAGAAATCCTTTTTCTACTTAACAACCTAACTGGGATACTTTTACCATACCTTTTATATTTGAAATATATATAAAGTAAAATAAGCATGCACCTAAATAGTTCATTTAATTTTGCTTACATATAAAGTTTAATATAATAGCATATTATATCTCAGAATTATTTTTTAAATGTAGTCAAAGGAGGATTTTTGCAAATCCCTATCTCTTTTCTATGGAGTTTACACTCTCTTATTGATTCTGGTACTAAATAGTTTGGTATTTGGGTGTGTGTGGGTTTTTTCGTTTGTTTGGTTTTTTTTGCTAAGATTCCTCTTCTTATACTGTAAAACAATTCCACATACTGATACACATAATTGTCTTGTCTTTGGAGAATTTCAAGTGTACTGTTTCTATTTGTTGCAGTCAGAAGCCATGCGTGTGAAGTGGATCCATATGGACTGCCAGGGGGATGTTCGCACATCTGTCCGCTCAGCAGCAGCTACAAAACACGGACCTGTCGCTGCAGGACTGGCTTCAACTTGGGAAGTGATGGCAGGTCATGCAAAAGTATGTTGTCAAAATCAAACATTTTGCCAACAGCTACTGCTACAGAATAGGGTTTTTAGTATTAATTAGCAGCAACATCCATAATAACATGAGACTTCATCAAGTGAAATCTGACTGCAAATATGTGGCAGTCAATTTTCTCAAAATCAATATTGAGTGGTTTTGTGCATGTGTTAGAGAATGTGTGCGCACGTGTGTGTGTGTGTGTTTGACAATGTGAATGAGAAAACTAAGTGGGCTGTAGAGTGACTAAATTTATGGATGTCCTGGAAATATACTTTAGGAAAGACTTTTAGGAAGACCCTTTCCTTTATTCCTTAAAGAATGTTTGTGGTCTAATAAGCTCAAATCATTGGTTGACCAGATTTTCTCTTATCTGAACCAAGATGCTTCTACTAGTAAAAAAAAAAAATGCTTCTACTAGTAAGAGGTATGTTGGTTAGGTCAACAGAAATTTACACAAAGCAGTGGTTCACCTTATTTAGTATCATTGGGAAGTGAAATTAATTTTATTATTTAATGTTCCAGGTAAATGGAGCTTTGCTAATTTATATTTTTAAATAATTTTATTTAAAAGCTTCTAATAGATATATCTTCATTTTATTCTTGTAATATGCTAGAGCAATTTAGTTAATCTTTATTTAAATAAGCTATTTTTTATAAATGACTTTTTTAAGTTTACATTTTTTTCACAGAAATTAGTTAAGGTCTTTGGGGGTCTTTACAATCATATATAGTAGAATGGCCCTTTTAGAAATGGTGTCTACATGGATACTATTGCTCTTTAAATGTCCCCAAATGCCATAATTTTTAAAGGTATGATGACTGCTTTTTATAATGTCCATTTGTCTTCATTTTGTCATAGCAAGGCTTTTTATTTCTATCAGTTGTCTCTCTTTGGTCACTGTCCTGCCATATTTTCTATTTTTTTTGTCATGTGCTTGCTGAGAACTATGAAATGAGGCCACTAAAGTGGTTATAGTTTTAAGTATAAACAGAATTAGTAGTACTAATACTTTTAAATATATATA